GATAGAACTGTCCTCCAAGAATTTACCTAATCTTTTTAAAAAGCTGATGTCATATAATCTGGCAGCAAGTTCTTTTAAGTTAATTATGTGTTGTGTGAAGATGCTTTGCCAATTAGCTTCAGAGTGTGACCTGAGGTTCTAGACAACTTGATTACTATACTTTTTAATTTCATAAGCTTTCTTCATGCTCCCATTTAAGCCTTAACCCCAAATGTCCACAGTCATTCCTCACAGGGAAAGTTCTCTCCTGAACAAAATGATCTAATGCAGGAGTTCAAAGTGTGCTCTGCAGAGCCCTTGGGCACCATGAGTGATAGTGAGGGACTCCACGGCGTCATGCTGCTCCCTACCTCTTCCCTCCTCCTCCTCCTCCTCCTCCTCCTGCTGCTGCTAAAAAATGCAGGGAAATTAAAGTTTGGAAACAGCAACAGCCACATCCTCCCGGGTCACAGACCCTTCCCCTCATGGCAGAAGGGAGTAGAACGGGATGTCCAAGCCCTTTACAATATTGTTGTTGTTGTTATAATTATTATTACTACTAGTACTATTATAACAAAGGCTGGATAGCAATTGCTTAGGGGTGCTTTGAATATACTTTTTCTGGATGGCCCCTGGGGGTTCTGCTATTATTATAACTCTTATTATTACTATGATTACTACTACTATTATTATTATTATCATCATCATCATCATTGCTACAAAGGCTGGGTGGCCATCTATTGGGGGTGCTTTGACTGTGCTTTCCCTGCATGCCAGAAGAGGGTTGAACTGGGCGGCCCCTGGGGCTGCTCCTATTACTATTATTGCTACTAGTATTACTACTTTTATTAATACAGAAGCTGGATCGCCATCTGCCAGAGGAGTTTTTCCTGCATGGCATAAGAGCGTTGACCGGATGGTGCCAGAGTTGTTGTTATTGTTATTATTTGAAACACAACAAGATGAGTCCACAGCAAACAAGACCACTTTGCTGGCTGTTGTACTAGATCACACATCAGACACTTCCCAAGTGTCTAGAACTGTGTGATGTATTGGCGAACAATGTGTGCAGATCCCAGTAAGGTGCCCTTTAGCAGCTGGCAGATGGTAATTTTGTCAGCGCCAATTGTGTTTAAGTTCAGGCCAAGGTCTTTAGGCACTGCACCCAATGTGCCGATCAGCACTGGGATCACCTTGACTGGCTTGTTCCAGAGTCTTTGCAGTTCGATCTTTAAATCCTCATATTGTGCCATTATTATTATTATTATTATTATTATTATTATTATTATTATTATTTACTATTACTATAATTACTGTTATTATCATTAATAATATTGATTTAATAATTTATATAAAAAATTTTTTGTCATGTCAGGAGCAACCGCTCCTGTTGTGAGAGAATTGGCCGTCTGCAAGGGGACGCCTGGATGATTTTTTGATGTTTTATCATCCTTGTGGGAGGCTTCTCTCATGTCCCCGCATGAGGAGCTGGAGCTAATAGAGGGAGCTCATCCACCTCTCCCTGGATTCGAACCTGCAACCTGTCGGTCTTCAGTCCTGTCGGCACAGTGCTTTAACCCACTGCGCCACCGGGGGGGGGGGGCTCCGATTTATAATAATAATAATAATAATAATAATAATAATAATAATAATAACTATTACTACTACTACTACTACTACTACCACAAAGGCTAGATGGCCATCAGCTGGGGTGCTTTGATCGTACATTTACTGCACTGAAGAAAAGGATTAGAGTGCATGGCTCCTGGGGTCTTCTGCCAAAATACTGTAAAGTTTATGTTGGTTAAATTTGTTCTTCATTTTAAATATTCTTTCTTTCTTTCTTTCTGCACTACAAATGAGATATGTGCAGTGTGCATAGGAATTTGTTCATTTTTTTTTTCATTTAGTTCACCCAAACACACTCCATCCATCTGCTACTGGCCCAGCAGTCTGTCAAATTTTGAAATGCAATGAGGCCCTTGAGCTACTGAATGGAAGTACCCCAACCATGAGCTCTTTATGAAGCAAAAGCTACCACCTAGTGGAATTTGAAAAAGTTGTGACCATGAAGTAGCATTCTGACCCCAAAACACAGGACATTGAAAAAAAAGAGATAATAATCAAGAGGTCTTTGGAGTCATCTTCCTACAAATGACACACAAAACACAAATGTGGTGAATGTTTTGGCTGACTAAGTGTAATGTGTGGCATCACCAAGACAATAAAAATATTTTACTTTTAAGATTACCACAGTGTCCGCAGTTACTGTATACACTCAAGTATAAGCAGAGTTTTTCAGCCTTTTTGTTTATTCTGAAAAAGGCCCCCTCGGCTTATACTCGAATCAAAGTTATTTATTATTTTAATGGGTTATTATTATTATTTAATTACATTTATTATTTACTCTGTTATTATTATTACATTTACATTGGGTAAAGATAAAGGTTTTCCTCTGACATTAAGTCTAGTTGTGTCTGACTCTGGGGATTGGTGCTCATCTCAATTTCTAAGCCAAAGAGCCGGCGTTGTTCGTAGACTCTTCCAAGGTCACGTGGCCAGCATGACTGCATGGAGTGCCATTACCTTCCCACCAGAGCGGTACCTATTGATCTACTCACATTTGCATGTTTACAAAATGCTAGGTCAGCAGAAGCTGGGGCTGACAGCGGAAGCTCACGCTGCTCCCTGGATTCGAACCTGCAGCCTTTCGGTCAACAAGTTTAGCAGCTCAGCGGTTCAACCCAGTGCTTATTATTTTATTCTATTATTATTATTACATTCACATTACTTCACTCTATTATTATTATTACATTTATTATTTTACTCTATTTATTATTATTATTATTACTATGACATTTATTAATTTACTCTATTTTGAAATTTATTATTTTATTCTATTATTATGACATTTATTATTTTACTTTATTATTATGACATTTATGATTTTACTCTATTATTACTGCTATTATTACATTTCTATTATTTTACTCTAGCAGTTTGAAACATGCAAATGTGAGTAGATCAATAGGTACCACTCCAGCAAGAGGGTAACGGCGCTTCATACAGTCATGACAGCCACATGATCTTGGAGTGCCTATGGACAATGCTGGCTCTTCGGCTTAAAATGGAGATGAGTGCCACCCCCACCACCACCCCCGCAAGAGTCAGACACCACTAGACTTAATGTCAGGGGAAACCTTTACGTTTATCACATTAAGGGATCCAGCACTACCACAGGAGTATCATGAAAATCAATCCAAAGAATTGGTTCCACTCTTGAGGAAGGTAAGACATGATTGCTTGAGTATCTTGAAGGCTTTCATCTGTAACAAGTGTGTTAAATTAAAGACTAATGCCTATTAAGGCCTGTAAGTCCAAAAAGTTAAAAACAAAAAAGCCAACCATCATACATGGACAACTCAAGATTCTTTCCAGCAAAACCATCTTCACTTATATGCAAGGAAATGTTTCTGAAATTGAATCCCTAAGGTAGCAAATAACCTGTTATTTAAAGTTATTTAAAGTTAACTTTGCCTGCAGTCTTTAATTAAAAAGTGTTTTGCAGAAAGCAAAATTGCCTCCCTGACCACTGAATGAGTTGCTTAATTAAAATCAAAATCGTGAGGATTTCTCATTACTAGCGGATGCAAATGTGTAAACACAAAGTACTTGGGAGGAAGGGAAACTCTTCCATTTCAAAAGTAATATAATACAATGTTCAAAAAATGAATGCGTTCTAAATTGAATAAAGTAAGCAACCATCCATGAAAAAAGATTATAAAAAAGACAGTCCTGGGACTGGTACTATATGACACTTTCATTCTGAGGTTCTAAGTATGACAATTGCTTCGGTTTTTAAGGACTCATGTTGGGCTTGTTTAATGTGAAGAATGAAGCTGTTCTGGAAATAGCCAATGTTTGCCTCCAATTAAAGGTAAAGGTTTCCCCTGACATTAAGTCTAGTCATGTCCAACTCTGGGGGTTGGTTCTCATTTCCATTTCTAAGCCGAAGAGCCCACATTGTCCATAGACACATCCAAGGCCATGTGGTCAGCATGACTGCATGGAGCACTGTTACCTTCTGCCAAAGGGATACCTATTGATCTACTCAGTTACATGTTTTCGAACTGCTAGGTTCAAACGCTGTTACATCAGCTCGATTGACTGCCAGTCTGCTACTGAGCACAATTCAAAATGCTGGCTTTAGCCTATAAAGCCCTAAACGGTTCTGACCCAGCTTACCTGTCCAAACGGATCTCCTCCTATGAACCATCTCGGAGTTTAAGATCGTTGGGGGAGGCCCTGCTCTTGATCCTGCCTCCTTTACAGGCACGATTGGCGGGCTTGAGATACAGAGCCTTCTCAGTGGTGGCCCCTCAGCTGTGGAATTCCCTCCCCAGATCAGCCCCCTCCCTCCTGACCTTCCGTAAAAGAGTGAAAACGTGGCTCTGTGACCAAGCCTTTGGAGAACTTGTGCAATAGATAGATATGGAATGATGTTCAATTACTACTGGAATGGCCCAGATTATGCCTGAGGATTACATGATTAATTGTGAAGAAACCTCAGCGGTGCGGTGGGTTAAATCACTGAGCTGCTGAACTTGCTGACCGAAAGGTTGACGGTTCAAATCTGGGGAGTGGCATGCGCTCCTGCTGTTAGGCCCAGCTTCTGCCAACCTAGCATTTCAAAAACATGCAAGTGTAAGTAGATCAATAGGTACTTCTTCTGGGGAAAGATAATGGCGCTCCATGCAGTCATGCTGATCACATGACTTAGGAGGTGTCTGCAGACAACACTGGCTCTTTGGCTTAGAAATGGAGATGACCACCACCCCCAGAGTCGGACATGATTAGACTTAATGTCAGGGGAAACCATTACCTTTACTAGCTGGCAACAGACTACCCCCTTCCCCAAATGCTCATAAAAGCTTGAAATTATGGATTTGGAATACAAGGACTGTAAATATATATTTGTATACAATATATGTACACATGAAAAAACCCATAGTACAACCAAATACTTCTTCCATGGAACAGCACCCGAGCAATGCAATTTATTGATGTTTATTGCGCTGCTACAAGCAAATAAGATTATGTATTCAGTTTAAACACAGATTGAAGGTCTGTCGCTTTAAGCATATCTCATCCTTCACCAATAATTTGAAGTCAGATTTGTATGCATTCCACACAGTGGGGAAAGGTATGTGCTAGATTTTCACCACTGTTAAAATTTTATTCAGACAGAATACTCCCAATGAACACAATCTGGTGCGACTGATTTATTTTAAGTCACCAAAATGATTAAGACTTGAACACTACATATTTGAACAGCTATTATTCCTTTTAGATCAAAGTATGTCTTATAAGGATTGTGCCCTACATCATCTACCTTTGGTTTTTTCATTACATACAATATGGTCTTAAAATAAGCTTTGCACATTATAACCTAATTTTTGGTGTCTCTTTCAGCTATACTGCATTTTTCCATATCAAAGACAATATCTTCATTTCCTACAAGTGAATCTTTTCCATCATCTTTTCCTTTTCTGAGAACCTTCAAACATTTATCAAGTCTTTTCAGGAACACATCGACGTCTTCTTTTGTTATACCAATGGCTGAAGCAGCATTGAGGTATGCACAGGGATAGTTGTTTGTATGGGCCATAAAGCCTTCAAAAGTGTAGCCGCTCACCGTTTGGACATTCCCAAGTGGAACAACCCTGAAAGCAAACAAAGCAAGGTTAAACATAGTACAGGAATACATGCAGGAAAAGTGCAATAACATGAACCATGAACTAATTAGGGTTACAGGTCAATAGTGAAGTACCGTATATTCCAGGGTACTAGACGACTGTCTCACGGGAGAAGAGGAGCTTCTCGCGAGTCCTGGCCAGGAAGGAGGAGAGCAGTCTGACCAGTGCGGGAGGCCCTTCTGCTCGGGTCGCTCTCCTTCTTCCTGGCCAGGTCTTACGAGAAGCGCCTCTTCTCCCGCGAGACAACATTGTCTAGCGGGAGAAGAGGAGCTTCTTGCGAGGCCTGGCCAGGAAGAAGGGGAGCGCCTGACCAGCACGGGAGGCCCTTCTGCTTAGGCCGCTCTCCTACTTCCTGGCCAGGCTTCGAGAGACAACTTTGTCTCGCAGGAGAAGAGGCGCTTCTCGAGGCTTGACGGGGCTGGAAGGCAGAGATGCCATGGTGGCAGGAAGAAGGAGAGCGGCCTGAGCAGCGCGGGAGGCCCTTCTGGAGGCGGCGCAGGAAGCAGGCCAGAGGCCCAGGGGCAACTACACGCTAGGCGTAGAGGACAGAAACCACCTGGCGTAGAGGACAGAAAATGCGGAGTCATCTTAAATGGTGAGTATATCCCCAACTCTCTATTTTGTGTGCTAAAGTTGGGGGGTCGTCTTATAGCCCCAGTCGTGTAATACCCCGGAATACATGATACATACTCCTTGACTCCTCAGCAACGTGAAACCCTGCAAGCCATAGCTGATCCATATTTATTTATTTATCGTGTCATCCGCAACCAGAACATTGTATTACATTTCTAACAGAACAAAACAAACAGATAAAAACAAAAACAAAAAAACAAAAAAAACAAATTTTGCAAACTTGGTAGCTGATTAGATGTCCTTTGACGAGTATCTGGCCACTTGGAGTGCCTCTGGTGTTGCCGCAAGAAGGTCCTCCATCGTGCATGTGGCAGGGCTCAGGTTGCATTGCAGCAGGTGGTCAGTGGTTTGCTGATCCATGTCAGCAATAGAGTGTAGACCAACAAATGGTCTGATTCAGTACAAGGCCATTTCCTAAACCAGTTCTGCTAACTTATATTACAGTTCTCAGTGCACTTTCCTGGAAGTAAGCCTCTCTGTAATCAGCGAGAATTCATTTTGAGTAAAGTCTAGGATCAGCCAGTATATCCATTTAGTTCTGCTAGATTCTAGACACAATTTGGAGACTGACTTCTACTGCTCAAGGGATTTTGACTCAATATGTTTCTGATCTCGGACATCAACAGAGGTACTCACCTTGCCCCAGAAACTTGTCTAGTGAAAAGCATTGATCCAAGTTGCGTAACAGCTATACCATTCTGTTCAGATAACTCTTTCAGTGACATTGCTGAAAATACACATAGCTGCGTTACTTTGACATATTACACTGGCCTACACACATTCTGGTGCCTCAAATGTTGGACCTGTTTCTGGGTATATTTTACCTCTTCATTCCAAAAATGGCACGTTTTCTATAGTTTTTGAGACAGAGAACACATGCTATATACTAGCCTTCATCTGCTTGCCCATAGAAAAGCATGATAACGATATGCAAGATATCAAAGATGGTGCAGTCTAGCCAATGCAATTTTCTGAATTAGCGCTGAAAGAACCTTAGAAACAGAAAAACCAGGACGTCAAGAATTTTCTTTTGGTTGGGCTGTGTTATACATGACAATTTCTAACAACTGAAACATACTTTACAATATGTTGTCGAAGGCTTTCATAGCCAGAATCACTAGGTTGTTGTGAGTTTTCCGGGCTGTATGGTCATGCTCCAGAAGTATTCTCTCCTGATGTTTCACCCACATCTATGGCAGGCATCCTCAGAGGTTGAGGGGTCTGTTGGAAACTAGGCAAGTGGGCTTTAAATGTCTGCGGAATGCCCAGAATGGGAGAAAGAACTCTTGTCTGCTTGAGGCAAGTGTGAATGTTGCAACTGGCCACCTTGATTAGCATTTAATGTCCTTGCAGCTTCAAATTCACACTTGCGTCAAGCAGACAAGAGTTCTTTCTCCCATCCTGTACATTCCACAGATATATAAACCTCACTTGCCTAGTTTCCAACAGTACACGTGAAAGGTATTTGGGAGTCTTAGCAGACCTCAAGCTGAACATGAGACAACAGTACAATGTAAAAGCTCAAAAAGGTCAATGCGATTTAAAGCTGTATCTATAGAAGTATAGTGTCTAGCCCAGATATGAGTAAACTTTGGTCCTCCGGTGTTTTGGACTTCAACACCCACAATTGTTAGGAATTGAAGTCCAAAACACTTGGAGAGCTGAAGTTTGCCCATGCCTGGTCTAGATCAAAGAAAGTCATACTACCACTCTATTCTGCTTTGGTCAGACCTCATTTGGAATACTCTGTGTAGTTCCTTCATAGCAGCGGGTTGGACTGGATAGCCCTTGGGGTCCCTCCCAACTCTAAGATTCTAGGGTTCTTCTACATCCGATGATGCTGTCATTACCTAAAGAGATAGGATTGTGGGGTGTATCCAGCAATCTTTCATTGTAGGCCTCTGCTAATTTCTTCACCTCGCTTGAAAGGTAGGAAAACATTTCCTAAATGTAGAAGAAATGGCAACTTTTAGTCTTATTTGCTGCTCTTTACATCAGGTTTCACTGTTTTCAGTAATACTATCAAACATCCCCTTTAGAACAATTAACTGAAACAAAAGCAGCAGCAAAGGAGTTCAAGGCACAACACCGGAAAACAAAGGTATAGGTTCCCGTACTTCAAGGCAGATGATGTAAAGGAGAAAACTAGGAACCCGACAAGTAGGAAATTTATATCAAATGATTTTGCAAAACAAGGTAGTGGCATAAAACGATAAGGAAGAAAACCAGGGATGAAATAAGTTAACTGATTAGTACTGTAAGCCTCAAAATCTATCAGATGCAAATGTGTCAAATCCATAGCTAACCTCTATTTTAAAATCTGGCATTTAAGAAGACCCCAAATACAAGTATTAAAAGAAATGTAACTGTTTGCATTTTTTCTGTATTGCCAACACTAAATTTAATGCAGATATAAAATAATATTTTCATACTAGAAAAGTATTGAACAACATTATACACTATAATGACATTTAAGTTTCTAGAGTTAAAACCCAAAATGAAACAATGCTTTAGGCAAGGCTGGAAAAAGCAAAACACATACACATGCACAAAATGTATGTTTTGCATACACCTTGGTTCTGTATTATTATTACTATTATTATTTAAAACATTTATATTCCACTGTTCTCACCCCGAAAGGGACTCAGGGCGGAGCACAGCATATACACGGCAAACATTCAATGTCGGGACACAAATTCATATACAATACATAAACATTAAAAAACATTTATCAAAATATTAAAATACACCATTTAAAACCATCCTAGCCATCCGCATCAAATCCAATTGGCCCTGTTATCTTTCCCACTGCCGCTTCATTGCCCTGTCCCAAAAGCTTGGTCACACAGCCAAGTTTTTACTATCCTTCTAAAGGACAGGAGGGAGGGGGCCGACCTGATCTCACCAGGAAAGGAGTTCCATAGCCGGGGAGCAATCACCGAGAAGGCCCTGTCTCTCATCCCCACCAATCGTGCCTGTGACAATGGCGGGACGGAAAGCAGGGCCTCCCCGGAGGATCTTAATCTCCATGATGGTTCATAGGGGGAGATGCGTTCAGACAGGTAATTTGGGCCGGGGCCGTTTACAGCTTTATAGGCCAAAGCCAGCACTATGAATTGTGCCCGGTAGCAAACTGGCAGCCAGTGGAGCTGGTGTAACAGCTCCCTGTATGCTGCCCCAGTTATTAACCTGGCTGCCTCTCGTTGGACTATTTGAAGCTTCCGAGCAGTCTTCAAAGGCAACCCCACGTAGAGTGCGTTGCAGTAGTCTATCCTAGATGTAACGAGAGCGTGGACCACCATGGCCAAGAGGCTTCTCAGTGGTTTAGCAACCAGGGAGGGCATGGAGAGGGCAGTCATTTGATGGTTGTAGGAGAATGGGACATCATGGCAGCATCCGGAAGTGAAGTGATAGCTGCTCTTTTCTCTTGGGTGCAGAAAAGCAGATGTGCATTGTCCAAATTACTTTCATCCCCAATATCCCCTGCCATTAGATGCCTTTGGAGCTATGAATAAATGCTGGGAAGCTGCCTTAAATTTAGGAAGGGGGGGGGAGGGAAGAGCTCTGTAACTCTGCTTGTGAAGTGTCAACACTCTGCAGCCATCAGGCAGGACTGTGACCCAGATACAGCTGGACTTCAGCAGAATAGGCAATGCTAAATCTCAGAAATCGCAATCCAGTGGGAGGATCCTACTTTCCCTATCCTTGTGGTAAACAGTGCCTTGAACCCCTATATCTTGAGAGGACAGACAGGATGAGATATTTTTCTTTGTGGAGGGCAGGGGAAGATGTGTGTTGTCAAGTTCTGCTGCAGAGATAACTCTCCCCTCTGCAAGATACCGGCTGGGCTCTTTTTGATATGAGCTCAACTAACCTGCAATAAGGTTTGATGTGAGGATAAAGCAAGAAAAGGGAGGAAATTATTCTGGGTTTTTTTTAGCCTGACTTCTTTTTTGAGTAGGTGTAGTGGAACCAATATAGAAAAGAGCACTCAATGTCAAGCTATAAATAGCTCCTGCTGAGAACATAATAGCTCTGCCTCAGCCTTCACAGAGCAAAAGGCAATAAACCACCACTATTAAATTTTACCATTCAGAAAGGTGCACATTTGAAGTATGCTACCGAGAAAAAAAAAAGAGAGGAGGGGGTGGTGGTTCTTATTTCTAAAACATACCCGGTAACAAAAACATATTTACAACATTTAGAGAGTCGTGTTTGTGAAGCAGAACCACATCTTCAGGAAACAACTCCGCTTCTCGATTTAGGGGGTTAAATATTGAATTCTTTCCTCACTAAAGAATTCACTCCTTGGTATTATGCAAGCCGAGACGCAGTGCAGCTTATTTCTTATAAAAAGAAATGCAAGTAAAAGCCTGTATCAACAAAAACATAGGCGTAAAATGCATTAAACTGGTTATAGAATTCAAATAGTTTAAAAGATCCATTTGAAAGTAATTGGATAAAAATCACACAGAATGCTGAAAAAGCCCCTTTCTTATAAAACAGTCAGTTCCCAAAGGCTGGTGGGAATAAAAAGGTATTCCCATGCTGATGATAGGACAGCAAGGATGGTCCCAGTTTGGCCTTCCTAGGAAGAGAGTCCTATAGCCTAGGAATAGCCATTGAGGAGTGTCCCCATCCACCTAGGGCTCCCAGAAAATGTGAATACAAATGGAAGAAATAAGTAATACTGTATGACCCCTGTATCCACAGGGGATATATTCCAATACCACCTCATCCCCGTGGATATCTGAAACCATGGATAATAATGAACCCTATATGGGTAGTCACAGAGTTACAAACATCCAACTCACATACGACTCATAGTTAAGAACGGTGGTGAGACAACTAATTCTTCCTTCCACAACAAGCCATTTTTTTTCAAAATCCAACTCTCACAGGAACAGAAAGTGAGGTTTTTAAAGGCACAGGGTCAATCAATAAAGCTTTATAATCTAGCCAGTAGAGGAGCCCCCAATAGCACAATGGGTTAAAACCCTTGTGCCGGAAGGACTGCTGACTGACAGGTCAGCGGCTCAAATTAGGCAGAGCGCTAACTCCTGTCAGCTCTAACTCCTTATGTGGGGACATGAGGAAGCCTTCTTCTAGATAGTAAAACATCAAACATCCCAGCATCCCCTGGGCAATGTCCTTGAAGACGGCCACTTCACTCACACCAGAAGCGACTTGCGGTTTCTCAAGTCACTGGTGACATGCAAAAAAATCCCCCAAAACTAGCTGTAAATCTGATCCTTCAATGAAGATGTGCAAAAATCATGTATAGCCAATGTATTTCATATCTTTCTAGAAAAGGTGGAAGGGATTGGCACAGTAAAATCAATTTGGGTTGTTGTAGGGTTTTTTGGGCTATATGGGCCATGTTCTAGAGGCATTCTCTCCTGACATTTCGCCTGCCTCTATGGCAAGCATCCTCAGAGGTAGTGAGCTTGCCATAGATGCAGGTGAAACGTCAGGAGAGAATGCCTCTAGAACATGGTCATAAAGCCCGAAAAAACCTACAACAACCCAGTGATTCCGGCCATGAAAGCCTTCGACAATACATTAAAATTAATTTGTTTTTTAAAATATGGCCACCAGTCCTTTGTGAAGAATCATTAGGGATTTCTGATTTCCACATTCTTGGGTGCCATTCTTATTTTTCTGGAGAAATTGCAAGAGCTGTTCCTACTTGAAAGGACAGCCAACTATCACACAAATTTCTCGTGAGATTGCTCACAGTCTTCCCTCTTCTGTATTGAAGATTAAGGAGGAACTACAGTTCATTCTACTCCCTGGAAAGTCCTGTAATGGTTGTAGGAGTGCCTTCCTCCTTGGTTTCTGCCCCTCACAGAGCTTATTAATGTATCTGTGTTTTCAAAGTTAGAAACCAACTTTTATCTTAGCGGAGATGAAATGAGCTGTAGCTATTTCATAACCAAAATCTTCCTCTCTTCACAAACTAATGGGAGATTATTACCGTATATTCCGGCATATAAGACGACTGGGCGTATAAGACGACCCCCAACTTTTCCAGTTAAAATATAGAGTTAAGACGACTCCCATGCATAAGACTACACCCGCGTATAAGACGACCCCTGACTTTTGAGAAGATTTTCTTGGGTTAAAAAGTAGTCTTATACGCCAGAATATACTGTACTTTTGTGTCAAAAAATTATAAAACTGATAAAACAGAGGAAGCACAAGTGGATAAATAATTTTAGACCAAAAATGGGCAACAGTGACCACATTGTCTGTAGCCTCAAACAATTCTTCCTCTGTACATAAAGCAGGACATTGTGGACCAAGCATACTGATATGGAGTTGTCTCTTCTGCTCCACAGTTACACAAGGTGGAGGATTCTTTTACGTAGTGCCATTTTGCCAGGTTGTCTTTTGATCTGCTCACTCCTCTTTTGAGTCTGTTTAGGGACTTCCAAGTTGCCTTTTCTTGGTTTGCCCCTGGAGGAAGACCCTCATGGGGGGGGGGGGGATCCAATTGGGATTTCCTGGCTTAGCTGCCCAGAGAGATATTCTTACTATTGTTGAAGGAATATTAAGAAGAGTGGTGGTTCTCCTGAAGCTTTTCCTTGATGGGAGGTAAGTCCAGCATAGGAACCCATGCACTGATCTAGCACATTGGTCTCCTAGATGTAAGCTATGTGTAAAGGGGGGATAGTCTGGCCAAAGCTTTTGGTTCTTTATTTCACCTTATATAATATTTCACTAGATAGAATCATAGAATTGGAAGAGACCTCGTGGGCCAACCAGTACAACCCCCTGCCAAGAAGCAGGACAATTGCGTCCAAAGTACCCCCTACAGATGGCCATCAAGCCTCTGTTTAGAAGGAGCCTTCTAAACAGAGGCTGGATGGCCATTTGATATGCTACTGTGTCCTGCTGCACCACTATTTAGGAATCATTGGTCTGGTATCTTGAGATTCCTATAGCAACTTGAAACAAGGAGATGGTACAATGAATGTCAACTGGTTTCATTCTGCTTCGAAAGCAGCAATCAAACAATGGCACTGAGCCATCAATCAAAGTGATGTACATTTTAAGTAACATCAAATCACTTTGCTTCTGTTTAATTACATCCAAAAATAGCTCTATACCTGCAAGAGGGGGAAAAAAACTTTCTAGATTTAAAGATGCACAAGAGTTGGAAGACATGAAAACAGAATTAATAAGAACATGACTAACATCCCTCAAAGAAGCAATCGCAACATCCCTCGCAATACACTGAAAAATCAATGATGCAATATTAGTTGATATACTGTCAAAGTAAGTCAATTATGAGGCTACTCTAAGTTCCACAAAAGCACTTCAGTTATAACTGGGGGGGGGGGGGGGAAACCCAACGTACAAAGTAAAGCTACTGTTGTTATTGCTTCCCATCTTATTGCTGTGTGTCCTAACTGCATTTTGATCTGCAACATTAAATGAGGCTTCTCTGAACTATCTTCATCCGTTCAACAGGTCGTTTATTTCCTGGCTGCCAGACAAGAGCTTTCAAAAATGATTATCTTTCATGGACCCTTTTGACTCTCTGCTTCCCTAGCTGCCTATCATTCTTCATTTAAACGTTCCACAAGCTCAAAGAGTACAGCTCAGTCTCAACAGATGTGGAAATTTGCACCTTCTGAGATATGCTGACAGAATAACCATATCTTCCTTTGACTGGTTAGACATGTCTTTGGCTTTCAGGGCAACACCAAGAAATTCACTGGAAGCAGAACAACTGGGGAAGAACTGCACACATTAGGAAAAAAGTGTTTCCCAATCAGAAACACACAAAACAGAGAAATGTATTTTAATGACATGGAATTCAGTGTGGGCAGAAACTTTAATGTGGTACAACTCAGGACAGGTTCCTGTCTTCACTTGATTCTGATGTATTAAATGAAAAAGTTATCTGCAAATATGTAAGTAAGTGTCACGAATATTTACAACAAGTTATAGACACATGGGGCCATGGTGGCACAGCAGGTTACACTACTAAGCTGCAGAACTTGCTGACTGAAAGGTTGGTGGTTCGACTCCGCGGGATGAGGTGAGCTCCCATTGTAAGCCCCAGCTTCTGCCAACTTAGCAGTTTGAAAACATGAAAATGTGAATAGATCAACAGGTACTGCTTCGGCGGGAAGGTAACAGCATTCCATGCAGTCATGTTGGCCACATGACCTAGGAGGCATCTACGGACAATGCTGGTTCTTCAGCTTAAAAATGGAGACGAGTACCATTCTAGAGTTGGACATGATTAGGCTTAATGTCAAGGGGAAACCTTTACATTAAAATGCATTGTGAATGACACACATAAAAGGGGTATAGAAGTAATCCTGTATTTCTAAGTGTAATTCTAGTGCTTTCTGGGGCTTCCTGTTTGAGTAACAGAGTGTTGACCAAGTCATAGTTGTGCAGCTTCAAGTTCATCTCAGTTATTGTTCCTCATGTAAGACTAGATGTTGCACTGTGGCTGCACTTGTGGTCGTATCTGATGATTTTGTGTTAAGAGATCAATAAGGGGAATTGTACCTTATTGATCTTACTCTATCTGGTGGCACTCTCATTCATCACAGAGGTGATGGCATCTCAACTGTTGGACTTTGGTGGTTGATTGCAGGAATAAATAATTCTACTCACTTCTGAAAGGGAGGTCACCAGGGATGCTGTCACAGGATTGCTTGAAATCTCTTGGAACCTTAACTGGAAGATCAAATTCCCTGACCCTCTTTAGATCAATGAGTAACGGACATGCTGCACATTAGTGTACGGAGTAGCCAATATATTAACATCTAGCTTTCTCTTCTCTACAGAAAGTCTCACAGATTCAGGTACTAGTTGAAATTTTTTACTCTAGAGAAACCAACCTGACAATAAATCAAGACACGAATGAAAAGCTGACAAAAGCTGGCAGTTTTGGAAATCCATGCTAACAGCAGATAATTCATAGGGATTGTTATGAATGTGGAACCCTTCATTTTAAGAAATAAAATGGGATCACTCTATGTTCAAGAACCAAAACCCCAAAGGCGAAAAACGGTACAGAAATCTTGAACAAAAAAGAGCTTTGATCATAAGTATCAGAAAGAAAGCAAGAAGATGACAATGTTGCAGACCAAGCAAGGGTTCTTAATGCATGTACAACACTCCTATTGCTGGCCCTAACAGCTGCACCTCCATTACTGTTTGCTGCAACTCACAAATATAATTTGTCATCAGTTACTTTTGAAATATTACCTTTCTCTCTTTTAGCAGCCGTTGATACCCTTTTGTGCCCAAGGTCAACAATGTAATGAGAACATCTAATGAAGGAGAGGCTGAGGCTCTTCCTGGGGAAGAGAAACATAAGATATCCATCAATTTGTTTCTTACTTGCGAGAGTAAGCTATTTAGTTTCTTTTGAGAATTGTTTTCCTAAGAACAATCAATTTAAAAACTAGGTACCTGGGTACATTTTGCTGATCTCCTGTATGAAGGAGTCATTGAAGCCAGCAATTATAGCACCACCTACTGGAACCATAAAATTCTTGTCCAAACTTTGCACAAAAGCATCTATTCTGCCTCTTCTTGCTCCCTAAAATGACAAAATCAAAAACAGATGCAAAACATATAAACACAGAGCATTCAGAAATCCAGTAAAACTCCTGAACTGAACACTGTTAATCTACACTAGCACAAGCCACCCAAAAAAAGCTCTTGTGCAAATGTAACTGACGAATGGGAGAACAGGAATGTTTTTCACACTTCTCATTTGGTTCAAAGGACTTTGCACAAGACAACTTTTCAGTGTATTTTGCCTTAGTTTCATCATGTTTTTTCTATTGTTGACAATTAGTGTTTGAAAAATAATGGTAAGTGGTAAAGACAAGAACTGAAACAGGTCATTCATAAGCTTTGTTCAAAACAACCAGAGTAGGGTAAGACGTTATTAGGAGAATATGTAACTCAAAATCTTCTGTAAATTGAAGTGGACACTGAGTGTGTGAAAACTGTTTCTCTTTTCTCTGAAAATGTGAAATTCCATATCTAACAATGGCAAAGCGAGAGAAACTCTATCCATACACAACACAATGGTAATTGGGAGCGAAGCTGAGTATTTTATGGATTCCCCCCCCTCCAGCATAACACACTCCATTGTCTAATCAGACTTATTATTTTTCTGGTTTTAAGGAAACAAGTTGTACAATGGAGTCTAGCTTAACACACTGTAGTGTCTAAAGCTCTTCCCAGCTTCCAACAGAAGAGCTTTAGACAATCCATCACACTAAATCAAACTTGACTCAAGTAGACACACTGAATGAATGAACTTTCACAAGTCTTGATTTAATAAGTTTCCACTGATTCCATGAGTTTATTTGGGACTCACAGTTGGATCTGGACCACTTCAAGGGGGTTTACTTCCTGGTGTGCAGCTTAGAGTAACAGAATTCCTCAAACTTGAGGAACTACAACGTTACTTTACTTAAGAGGATTTTCAAATCATTTCAAACAGCAAACAATGCTAGAACAGCAGTCAACACAGCCGGACAGTAAAACAAGCCTACTAAGATACTAAAATCAGGTTCTAGATTACATGGTTAGATAGGTAAACCTGCCGTTGCTAACATCTAAAGCTCTGAAGTGCAGGCACTAAGGAAGGACAATTAGGAAAGACATTCTGCAGGCATGTTTCTACCATGGATAAGGTGTGTTCTTCTGTTCCTCAGGTCCTGGTAAAGAACCTGGAGAACAACTTTTCTAGACAATGACATGCTTGTTTGAGAGCAAGTTCTTTCAAAGTTGTATATCGCTTGCATTCAAGATAAACCCTGAATTGTAGTCAGAAGTGTACAGGTAACCTACAAGAGATAGATCTCAAAGCACTCCCTGTTAAGAAACTTATTATAAAGTTAATAAAAAGTTTTAGCACAGCAGGCTAATCACCAGCTGCAGTAAATCATGCCAGCCAAAAAGTTGACAGTTTGAAGCCGGGTCAGGGTGAGCTCCTGGCTTCCAACCCAGCTCCCCGCCCACCTAGTGGATCAAAAATAGCAATGTGAGTAGAGGAAGCAGGAAGTTATTTTAGGCACATTAAGCAGGAAGTTATTTTAGGCACAGAGTTTTGATCAGAAAAAGGAGGAAAGTTTACGAACAAAGAAAGCTCTTCAGCAAAGAGATGGAGCGACAGCATCCCCCTGTGGCCAAAACCAAGCACAGCCTCCAAAGATGCCAAAAGATGGGGGAAAGCATATATAAATACCTCTATCTGTTGTCTATCTTGTCATTGTATAATAGGAATTGAATGTTTGCTGTATATGTGTTTTATGATCCGCCCTGAGTCTCCTTCGGGGTGTGGAGGGCAGAATATAAATAAATGAATTAAGTCACACGCTCACAGTCCAAGAAAACTCCTTAGGGTGACTCTAAGTGAGAAACTACAGATGACCTCAGAAATTCACACAGTCTGCTGCAAGGCTCCATTTAATCTAAAGAGATATGGCCCACATCTGAAGTCAACTCTTGCCTTACCTGCTGAATGAGATGCATGCATTTGGAAGACTGAATTCCATAGGCATTATTAACTATATGAGGGATGTCGTATTTTGCACACATCTCAGATAATTCTTCCAATCTGCAAATATAAACAAGACTTTATGTCAAATAAAGGGAAAAACAAAAAAAGACATAGGAACAGATAGGTAGATGAGACAGAAATAAATGTAAAGTAGGAACAAAGAAAGCGACAAGAAGACCAGCTAATGTAAGAGGACCCCAATTATTGTCCTACAATTTAGGATGGGACAGAAACCTTGACTGGAATGAGTTGCTACAACAAGCCATAAACAACTTTGAATTCAGAAAGATCACTATTTTGCCATATCACCAACAGCTTCTCTTAGCTGTAAAATTCTCTTGGGCAAATGCTATGGAATACATTTCAGGTTTTGGGATGTTCTTATTTATTTATTTACTAGCTGTGCCCTGCCACACGTTGCTGTGGCCTATAGTAAAACTTATCAAAGTTGAGTTAGATATCTGGACTATTATGAAAGAGAGGTACCTACCTATTCCTTCCCCCTTTTCCTCCCCCTTTCTCTCCTTTCTTCCTTCTCTACCTCTTTCTTTCTTTCCTTCTTTCACTACTTGGTTTCATCCTTCTCTCTTTCCTTCATTCCCTCCCCCTTTCTTCCTTTGCCTTTCTTCCCTCCCTGTTTGCTTCCTTCTTTCTCTTTTTATTTCCTTTTATTTCACCACCGTCATAACAATAACAATAATGCAGTGCATTGCCTCTGGGACCTGACACCTCTCCCATTCCCCCTAAAAGGGTCTCATAGGAAGAATAGCATCATAATAATCATAGAAATAACAACCTTTACCCGCCACGCGTTGCTGTGGCCAACCTTCCCTCTTTCTCTCCTTCTTTCCCTCCTTCCTTCCTTCCCTCCCATCTTTCCTTCTCCTCTTCCTTCTCTATCTCATTCCCTTTTTTCTTTCCTTCTCTCCTTCCTTCCTTCCCCCTTTTTCTTTCTCTTCTGGTCTCTTTTCTTCCTTCTCTCTTTCCTTCTTTCCTTCCCTCCCTCTTTCTCTACATCTTCCCCCTTCCTTCACTCCCTCTTTCCTTCCTTCATTCCCTTTTTCTTTCCTTCTCTCCTTCCTTCCTTCCCCCTTTTTCTTTCCCTCCCTCTGTCTCTCATTTCTTCCTTCTCTACCTCTTTCCTTCCTTCCCCCTTTTTCTTTCTCTTCTGCTTTCTCTCTTTTCTTTCCTTCCATCTTTCCTTTTCTTTCCTTTTCTTCTTCCTTCTTCTCCTAACTTTCCTTCCTTCCCCCTTTTTCTTTATCTCCTTTTCTCTTTCTTCCTTCTTTCCTTCCTTCCTGTCTTTCCTGGATTTTGACAGGGCGGGAAGGGGCGGGGTGGGGTTTGGAGGTGGCGTGAAGTAAAAGGAGGTAAGATTGCGGCAGGGGAGTGATGGAGCGTGGGGTTGTGTGTGTGTGTGCGGGAAGCGGGGGAGGGTGGGGTTGCGTGTGTGTGTGGCGGTGGGGGGAGTGATGGAGCGTGGGGTTGCGTGTGTGTGTGCGGCAGCGGGGGGGAGTGGGGTTGCGCGTGTGTGTGTGGCGGTGGGGGGAGTGATGGAGCGTGGGGTTGCGTGTGTGTGTGCGGCGGGGGAGTGATGGAGCGTGGGGTTGTGTGTGTGCGTGCGGCAGGGGGGGTGTGTGCAGGAAGCGATGCGGCGGGGCTTGGAGTGGGCATGGCTTCCGCAGAGGGACCTGTGTGCGTGCGCCAGGGAACTTGCGGCTGGGCACCAATGCACATGCTCAGTTGTTTTGCCGTTTTGTGAGTGTGTTGTTGTGTTGTTTTTCATTTTGAGTAGATATGTTTGTACCTTGTGGGTTGTGTTATGGGCATGGGAATTTTGGTTAAGTTTCGTTGGGTTTTTTTGAGTTTTGTTGTTTTGCCGTTTTGTGAGTGTGTTGTTGTGTTGTTTTTCATTTTGAGTAGATATGTTTGTACCTTGTGGGTTGTGTTATGGGCATGGGAATTTTGGTTAAGTTTCGTTGGTTTTTTTTAGTTTTGTTGTTTTGCCGTTTTGTGAGTGTGTTGTTGTGTTGTTTTTCATTTTGAGTAGATATGTTTGTACCTTGTGGGTTGTGTTATGGGCATGGGAATTTTGGTTAAGTTTCATTGTTTTTTTTTAGTTTTGTTGTTTTGCCGTTTTGTGAGTGTGTTGTTGTGTTGTTTTTCATTTTGAGTAGATATGTTTGTACCTTGTGGGTTGTGTTATGGGCATGGGAATTTTGGTTAAGTTTCGTTGGTTTTTTTAGTTTTGCTGTTTTGCCGTTTTGTGAGTGTGTTGTTGTGTTGTTTTTCATTTTGAGTAGATATGGTTGTACCTTGTGGGTTGTGTTATGGGCATGGGAATTTTGGTTAAGTTTTGTTGGGGGGTTGTGGAGTTTTGCTGTCCCGTTGAACCAACCTAACAGATTTATATATATAGATTCATTTACTGTACTTGTATTTCTCAGCCTAGCTGGCGACTCAACGTGGTTTACAACAAAATACAACAGTCAACAGTATACAATTTAAAACCATAAAACCATAATACACAATATTAGCACATCCATAACAATCCAATGCATCTCTTAACTAAAATCGTGATCCAGTTTCGTCGTCCATATTACCAATCCTTTAATCATCACATTCATTGCACCGATTAACCAAATGCCTGTTCGAACATCCAGGTTTTTAATCTTCTTCGGAATACCATCAGCGAGGGGGCTGATCTTACCTCCATGGGAAGGGCGTTCCATAGCCGAGGGGCCACCACAGAAAAGGCCCTGTCTCTCGTCCCCGCCAGCCGCAGGCGGGATAGAGAGCAGGGCCTCCCCAGAAGATCTTAGGGTCCTGGTGGGCTGATAGGCCGAGATACGTTCGGATAGGTAGGTTGGGCCAGAACCGTTTAGGGCTTTAAAGGCCAACGCCAGCACTTTGAATTGAGCCCGGTAGCAAATCGGCAGCCAGTGGAGCTGGTGCAGCAGAGGAGTTGTATGCTCCCTGCGCTCCGCTCCTGTTCGTATCATGGCTGCCGAGCGTTGGACTAGTTGGAGCTTCCGAGCCGTCTTCAAAGGCAACCCCACGTAGAGAGCGTTGCAGTAGTCTAACGGGATGTAACCAGAGCGTGGACTACCGTGGCCAAGTCAGACTTCCCAAGGTACGGGCGCAGTTGGCGCACGAGTTTTAACTGTGCGAATGCTCCCCTGGTCACCGCCGAAACCTGGGGTTCCAGGCTCAGCGATGAGTCCAGGATCACACCCAAACTGCGAACCTGCGTCTTCAGGGGGAGTGCGACCCATCCAACACAGGCTGTAACCCTATACCCTGTTCGGCCTTGCGACTGACCAGGAGTACCTCTGTCTTGTCTGGATTCAATTTCAATTTGTTCGCCCTCATCCAGACCGTCACAGCGGCCAAGCACCGGTTCAGGACCTCGACAGCCTCCTTAGTAGCAGGTGGAAAGGAGTGACAGAGTTGGACATCATCCGCGTACAGATGACATCGCACTCCGAAACTCCGGATGATCTCACTCAGCGGCTTCATGTAGATGTTAAACAACATGGGGGACAATATTGAACCCTGAGGAACCCCACAAGACAAAGGTTGTGGGGTTGAACAGGAGTCTCCCAGTACACCTTCTGAGACCGACCCTCAAGGAATGAGCGGAGCCACTGTAAAACAGTCCCTCCAAGACCCATTCCTGCGAGGCGTCCCAGAAGGATACCGTGGTCGACGGTATCGAAGGCCGCTGAGAGGTCCAGCAGCACCAACAGGGACACACTCCCCCTGTCGAGCTCCCGGCGCAGATCATCCACTAAGGCGACCAAGGCTGTCTCGGTACCATGCCCCGGCCTAAAGCCAGACTGTGCCGGATCCAGATAATCGTGTCTACCAAGAATGCCTGGAGTTGTGAGGCCACCACACGTTCCATGACTTTGCCCAAGAAGGGGAGATTGGAAACAGGCCGATAGTTGACGAATTGAGTGGGGTCCAGTGATGGTTTTTTCAACAGCGGTTTTATCACAGCTTGCTTTAAGCTGGCTGGAATTTTGCCTTCCCGAAGGGAGGCATTAACCACCACCTTCACCCCCTCGGCCAATCCCCCTCTGGCCTCCTTCAGAAGCCAGGATGGGCAGGGGTCTAGGATGCATGTGGTAGCTCTCATTCCTCCAAGCACCTTGTCCACATCCTCGGATTGAACCAATTGAAATGAATCCATCAAAACCGGACAAGCAGATGCTCGTGTTACATCCTCAGAGACTGCCGTTAATATGGTGTCCAGACCAGAGCGGATCAAAGCGACTTTGTCTGCAAAGAACTGAGCAAAGGCTTCACAGCGAGCTGCCGAGTCATCAGGGCACCCATCCTGCATGGTGGGTTTTAACAGGCCTCTGACAACTCGGAACAGTTCAGCCGGACGGTTCTTTGCAGACGCAATAGTGGCCGCAAAGAAAGTCTTCTTTGCAGCTTTTATTGCCGCAGCATATGCCCTTAGAAAGGACACAAACCGTGTTCGATTTGGCTCGCTCGGATCCGAACGCCACACGCTCTCTAGTTCCCTCTTCTTTCGCTTCAACGCTGCCAGCTCCTCAGTAAACCAAGGAGCTGGTTTAGCTCGGCTACTTGAGAGGGGACGTTCTGGAGCGATCGTGTCTATTGCCCTAGTCATCTCCCCATTCCAGAGAGCGACCAGAGCATCAACAGGATCACCAACCGAGGTGGCGGGAAATTCCCCAAGAGCCATCAGGAATCCATCCGGATCCATAAGCCTCCTGGGGCGGACCAATTTAATGGGTCCTCCACCTCTGCGGAGGTTAGGGGGTGCAGCAAGTCTAAAACTGACCAGGTGGTGGTCGGTCCATGGCAACGGAGAGATGGATAACTCCTCAACACCGCCACCTTCCTCCCATCCCTGACAGAAAACCAAGTCCAATGTATGTCCAGCACTGTGGGTGGGGCCAGATACCTGTTGGGACAGCCCCATGGTTGCCATGGTAGACATGAAGTCCTGAGCCGCTCCCAATAAGGCGGCCTCGGCGTGGACATTGAAGTCCCCCAGCACAAGCAGCTGTTGGGACTCC